TTCTCCTCTTTTTGCTGAGGAGGACTGGCCCTGAGCTAGCATCTCTACTTTATATGTGGGACACCTGCCACAGCATGACTTGATAAGCGGTGTGTAGGTCCATACCCGGGATCCGAACTGGTGAACCCTGGGCTGCCAAGCTGGAATGTGTGAACTTAACCACTGTGCTACTGGGCCAGCCCTGTGGTATATTTTTAATAGTTTAAATTATAATGAATTTTCTCATGAGAAAACACTTAAAACAGTAGGTATTTTTCAAGTATGTTGAAAGACACATTAGTTATTTTTTTCTACACCACAATAAAATTAATATAAAATAAAGAGTTTACTGGAAAAAAAATAGCAAGAAATTAAGAACAACCTAAATGTCCAAATATAGGAGACCATTAAATTATGTTACCTCCATATAGGGAACTATGATGCAGCCATTAAAAGTAACATGGGTACATACTATAATATACTGCTAAGTTAACAAAAAAAACAAACCCACAGGTCTAAAATAGTTTGAACAGTATGATTCAATTTTTGTTTAATAATATTATAGTAGCTACATCTGAGTAGTAAAGTAATAGGTAATTTTCTTTCCTTTTTTTTTTTTTTTCCTGGCATTATATTCATTGCACTAAAAAAAAAAAGTAGAAAATATATTTCTCGAGTGATTAAAAAAGGAGAAACTAGACTGTGGATTAATCCATTACTTTCACCAAAGCAAAGACTGGGCTCTGGGCTCCCTGGGTGGTGACAATGAAGAGCAGAGGGTAGCTGCAGTCAGACGAGGGAGCTGGGATCATTCTGGGGAGCAGAGGTTAAGGAGAGCAATACCTCTTGCCATATATAGGGCATTACACCTTACAAAGCACAGCAGGGTGGCTAGGGCTAGGGCTGGGCCAGCATGAGGGTGGGGAGGTGCTCTCACCAATTCTCCAGTTGTTCCAATCCTCCGTGCATGGGGCCTCCAATGCAGGCCTTCTGCTGCTGGACTTTCCACTCCTCCAACTTGGGCAGCAGTAGCTCGACTAGGGTAGTTAATCGGCCCAGAAGTGCTTTGGAGTCATCCAGCACCTCCTGGGAAAGACACAAAGTGAGTGTGAACACCTCTCACCATCACCCTCCACCATCCAACTGGGGATGAAGAAACAAAGAAGTCAAGGCTAAGAGGCCAGGGCTCCCAGATCCCTCATTGTCCCCAGTTCCCTGCTGCCCACTCCCTGTGTCCTCTGCCTCCCACCTTTCTCCTTTTGTCCAGTTCATTGAGAGTTTCCTGTAGAAGCTGCTGCTGTCTGATCTGACGGGGGTCCGAAGAGGGTGTCTTCACTGGATGGCAGGGGCAGGGGTAAGACAAGTGCTCAGACAGGGCCCCTTCCCTTCCTGACCAGACCTCAGTCAGAGTCAGGATGGGGGATTTGGAAGGGAGAGGAAGGAAAATCAAGGAAGCATAGGCACCTCTGGGCCCTCACGTGAAGTCTGAATGGTCATGCTTGAACCAGAAGCCCATTCAGTCTGCTAAGGCAGTTTGCCGTGCATCTCCTCCAACATTCACTACTGCCCCTCAGCCACCCCTCCGGATGACCTCCACGACATACACTGGCACTTCCACCTTTGCATTGCAGCGGGACTGGAGCCAGTGAGGTGTAGCCAAAGGTAATTACTGCTTACTGGTGCCCTTCCCTTCTGCTCTCTTCCACCCATACCTCCCAGCATCACCTGTCTTTCTCCCACCCCTCAATGTGCTTCCTACCTGAGGTATTATATCGGAAAAGGAAGACATCCTGCTGGTCTTTCAGTTGGCTGATAGATTTCACCAGCTTCTGTAGATGGGATGAGACCCAGATGAGGCTGCTTTCACGGGAGGAGGCAGGCTGAGCCCTGCCCATCCTGACTCTTGCCACATCAACCCACCTCCATCATAGCCCTTAATTCCAGGATCCGGGATTCAATCTCATGCTGCTGGCTCTCCACAGGTGCTTCAAGGGCTGGCTCTTCTTGCTCCTGAAATAAGAGGCTCTGAGCACATTTCAACTCTTGACCTTTCTTTCATCTCTGAAATCCAGGCCTGAAATTATCCCACAGGATGTGAGGGGATCTTGTTTGAGACGAATTTCCCGAGTCCTTTCCATGGTCCCTCTCTACTCCAGGAGTTTTCAACATCATCACCAAATTGTTCTTACCAACTGAGCCTTCTGAGCCTGGATCAGAATTCTTTTTTCTTCCAGAAGGAGATTAAAGATCATCTCAGCCAATTGGGTAGGGCCCTGGGGAAAGGCCTGTAAGTAGGAAAAGAGAAAGGATTGATTGAATTAAACTGCCTTCAATGAACTACCATCCCAGACCCTCCCCACCAGTGACCCCAGTACTTCCCCCTCCTTCAGGGCCCTTCCCCTTTTCACCACTGGTACCCCAAACCCTAGCCACTTCCTAACAGGGTCATCTAGACTCTGCCCTTCTCTCTGATAGCAATCCTTCAAGTCCAGACTCTGTCCTCCTTTCCCCAGGTCTGCCTCTGTCCCTCGCACCTCCAGGTCCTGTTCCATACCCTAAACTGTACTGCTCTACACTCAGTTCCCATTCCTACTTTGTTATTCCCAGTACCTGAATGTCCCGATAGAATTTTCGCAACTTGTGCCGTAGCAACAAGCACTCAGGGTCCTGGCTGCAGCGGCCACACTCAGAGGTCAGTTGGTCCAAGAAATGGAAGAATAGCATGTTAGCCTTGGAATCATCGTTGCCCAGTACAGCTTCTTTCCTGGGAACCGGGAATAACAAGGATTAGCATCTCTGCAGGTTGGCTACTGTGTTCAGGCCTTCCAACCCCTCCCAGCCCTTGGTGTCTCCAGGATCCTGGGGGCTCAGAAGAAAGAAACCACTTTCCTCATCCCCCGCAACTCCCCGAAGGCCTCACCAGTTCTGGTCTTCAATCCAGACAGCCAAGTGCTGTCGAATGTCCATTGGCAGGAGGATATTTGAGTAGAGCTCGTACAGTTGATCCTGAAATGGGCTGTCGAGATTCTGTAGCATCTCCCATTGCGCCATTTGGGGTCTGAGTCTGAAGGATGCAGGTTCTCAATTGGAAATTTTGCTGGACTAAATCATCCACAGTCTCATGATTTTTTATTATTACAAATTAAAAATTTTTTAATTATACAGGTAAGAAAAAATACAAACAAAAATTAAAGTCTAGATTGACTCCACTCCCGATCTTGCTCCCTTCCCCTCCTCTCCAGAAGCAACCAATATTATCAGTTTGGTGCATATTCTTTCAGGGAGCACTATTTAAGAGCTCCAATATCTGAGCCCTTTTTATTTAATGGTAATTTTCAAACACATACCAAAGCAGAATGAATAGTACAAGGATCATCCATGTACCCATCATCCAGCTTAAACAAACATTGATGATACTTCCACCATCTTTATTTCATCTATCTCCCCCAATGAATTTATTTTAAATTTATTTGTTTGTATTTGTATTGGTTTTTGCTGGAACATTTAAAGATCAGTGTGGGTTACAAGCATTTATTTCAGCATGATCCCTGCTGGCCCCAAAGCTTTATCAGGGGCTGAAACTTCCTTGGAGTTAAGGTACACTCTACACACTGCTCTCCATGTAGGAAGGAGGAGCTCCATTCTAGAAAATATTTATATACTGTGCAAGGAGTCGCTCAATCTCTAAGATTGTGACACTTTTATTATCTTTGTCAGTCTCTGATTCTTCAGGTGGATTATCAACTTTGGAGAGACCCAGAAATTTCACTCAAGACTGGTTTTTCCTTGTCACCAAGCTGGCTGGGCAGAGACTCTCTCTCCCTTCCTTTCCCCACCCACTGCCATCTGTCAGTTGAGGAAATTAAAACACATTCTTGCTGCTGCCTGAGCCTAACAGAAAAGAATAAAGGCACACATCTGTGGTCTAAAAGAGGTCACATGATTTTATGACAAATCAAAGAAACATGTTTGAGGTGGAAGAGATTATTTTTATCAGTATGAATAATCACTGAGCTGCCTTTCTACCTGCGGGAGGTAGGAGGAGGGGAAGGAAGGGATCGGGCACCTTATTGTCCATTTTAATCCTTTTAGTAGTGCTTGACTTTTCTAACTATGTACGTGTATTGCTTTTTAAAAACAAATGACAAGGCCCCAGTTCTCAAGGAACTAATGGGCTGGTATTAAAAGAGCAAGGTGGCAAGTAAACCCTGAGGTTTAAATATGAAACAAACCCTGGTCTTCCCAAATGGATTGCAAACACTAAAGCTAAGGGCTGTAACACTTAAGTTTTTGACCACTTATCCCCCACTCTCTTAGGCATATATTTTGTGCTCAATAAGCTTTCATGAAATGAACTGCATTTTGTATGTGACCTTACGCAAATCGTTTCACCGTTCTGTACCTTACACTTTTTAACATAACAAGTAAGGATGATAAACCCTATCTATCTTTAGACATTGTATTTTTGTGCGGATCAAAATTAGCCCAGAAATTAAAGTGCTGGCTAAGACACTGAATCTATGCAACAACGCCAGGTTCCAGGTTTTGGAGGCTGCCAGGGGAGTTTTGAGAGGGGGATGTTGGGAAGCTAGGCTGGACAGGATGGGGAGATCAGGATGCAGCAGGCGACAGCTCTTATTTCAACCTGGGGACAGAGGCTGACCCTTCCGGAGCGCACCCTCCAGGGCCTGCTGCCCTTCCCAGAGAGGAACTCGCGCCCCCACCCGCACCCCCGCGCGCGCTCGCAGGGCCGTACCTGGTTAGGGTGTCCAGCCCAGCTCGCTCTGGAGGTTCTCGTCCAGGCTTCCGGTTCCCAGCAGGAGCTCGGGACCAGGACCTCCAGCCCCACCCCCGGCTTCGGTCCGCCCTCGGGCCCGCCCCTTGGAGCAGACTTCAGTGAGCGGCCGACCCTCACCAGGCCGTGAGTTCATTGGCAGTCCTATAGCCCCTCCCCACCGCGCGGGGCGGGACAAGCGGAGCCGAAACCACGCCTCCAGCTCCAGCGATTGGTGAGAAAGCTCAAGTAAGCCCCGCCCCATATTTGCGGAGGGAGGAATCCTATTAACGGAATAGCCGGGGACTGCAACAGCTGATTTCCGAGAACTTGCACCACGGCTTCTGAATCGAGACTGGCTTGGGATCCTGGAGGCACTAAGGGAGGAAGAGGTGGGACCAGAATTTCGAGACTTTGGGATAGGAAGGGGAGGGCTGAAGTAATAAAAAAATAATAACTATTTACTGATGGTACCATGCGAAGCATTTTAGGTTCATTCCGTCGTTTTTAATTTTCACAAAACCCATTGAAGTGAAAATCATTATCCTCACTTTAGAAATTTAAAAAACTGAGCTTAGAGAAAGAAGTTATTAGTCAGTGATCATTGAGGTTCTAACAAGTGAAGCATAGATTCAAAACCAAATCCTCTGACTCCAAACCCCAAACTTTAAAATTCCTACATTTTCCAGCACTGCCTTCCTCCTTGATAACAAATCAGAGATTTGGATTTTTGAACAACCACATACAGCTTGTCAGAATATTAGATTTATTCACTCTGTGTTTACTACCTTCTTTTACATCCCAAGACTCGCATCCCAGAGTCTTAAACCACTGCTTGTTGTATGTACAGCCCACCCCCAGTAAGGAGTTGGAGTTACTACTTCTGACACCAAAGGGGTCATGGTAGTTGTTTCTTCCAGGTCACCCACACCTGAGGTGCCCCTCAAGCGCTCCTCGCTGGTCTCTGGCAAAGGAGTGTTTGCCTGTTTTTCATTGTAATACTGGATCAAGCGTTGAACTCCGGCCTTCACTGCAGGTTTAAGTGCAGCACTGATCGCTAGTCCTGTGGGCCCTCCTGACAGTCCAGCCATGGTCGTTAGAAGGTCATAACCCAGATCTATGACCCCATCTTGACCTCGTTCCTTGGCCTTGTCGGAGCAGTTCTGAGCAGCGTAATACAAAGCTGTGCCCAGGTTGTAGAAGGTTCCAACTCCTGGCAACAGCTGAACTATATTGTGCACACTTTGCTCCTGCTCGTGTTCACAGTCCTTGTTGGGGAGGGAGCGCCGGGCCCTCTCTTGGCCTGGCTGCTCCCTGGCCAACAGCTGCAGAGCAGAGACCAGGGCATCCGCTGACACCGCCCTCCCTGTGCTTCTTCCTTTCTCCAGCCCTTGAAGATGTCTGATGAGGATCTGTGTAGCGTTTACACCGCCCTCGCGGACGAGCTGAAGCTGCAGGGCCCGTACATCAGCCTGGCAACCAGCTTCCTCCAAGGCGATCATCAGTGAGAGGCCTATGAGGAACTTGGGTAGAGGGGCCATGTGGGTGAAGCCAGGCAGGGACTTTGGGAGCAGGGTCTGGCAGGACAAAGGGTCTGAGGAAGATGGCCAGGATCCCGAGGCTGAGGGAAGGAGCCTCAGGACATTTGTCTGGTTTCCATGTGGAGCAGCATGAGCAGGGCCTAGCAGGAGGTAGCAAACGAGCAGCTCAACTGGTATCATGAGTCTGAGGCCACGCATATCTGGAACAGAGTGCCCTGGAGAGGGGAGAAACCAGAAACACACAAACCATGCCCCTAAGGCCTGTGGTCCAGGAGGAGCCCAGGACTCAGGGCACACCCCATCCATCACCTCCAGGCTTCTGGTTCTTTTTAGATAAATGCCTAACAGTAAATGCAACCCGATTGTTTCCACTTGTCTTCCTCCATTTTCAGGTCATCAGAAACTTCCTCTGCCTTATTTCCACCCATTTATAGGGGGCCCCAAATTACCACACAGTCTAGGTGAGAAGGGAGACTGCCTCAATAGGCTTGGTAGTTCCTCGATCCTGCTCCTGAAGTTCTGCCCACTTCTCTGTCCCACAAAGAAAAGTTAATTGCTTTCTCCTATGATCAGTAAGAGACGTAATCTCTGCAAATATTTGTCCACTTGTACTGGCTGCTCAAACCTTGTCCCCTTGCCACACATTCGACCTCAATACCTAAGTCCCTGTGCTTTCGCATTTCCTAGAGGTCCTTGCCACATTCCCACTCTAGCTTATAATAGGAGCCAGGAGACCCAGAATCAGAAGGGGTTAGATGCCTATGATTCTCTCTTATTTTATTTCTCTTTTCAGTTTAAAAATATTAGCAAGCTACGGCATTTGGTTGGGCATTTAGTACAGGGTAGATGAATGGGAAAAAGGTTAAAATGTCTCTCATGCTTAGTACATATTATATGTACAGTATACGATAACTGAAAAAAAGACAAGAAAAAAGGGAAAATGGAAGAATAAACAGAGACTGAGAGCTACTAAGTGGAGAGGGGCAAGGCTAACACTAGTCACATGTGGGTTTTAGCACTGGGATGAGATAAAGAACATACATCTGTCCTAAGTAGTCTCCAGTATTTCTAACTACTTATTGTGTCCCATCCTTGAACACAGTCCTGGGAAAAGAGACTTGTCGCCTAGGTGACATTGAATATCTGAAGTAAACCTGGACAAATTCCTGAATCAATTTCTTGTAAAGCACTTCAAAATAATCGTGGGACATTTGATAAATAATATTGTCATCATCCATAGACACTGAGAACCTCTCAACTTGACAGCAAAAGCTTTGAATTGTATCACCAGTGACATGGGAGATGGCTTCTCAGCAAACTCAATCACTATCTGCACTCAGCGGTAGACCAGCCACCCCAGTGGGTATGTTTGCCACCATCAATACATCCCTCAGAGTGAGTAGCTGAGTGTTGGATTTATCCAAGCTCCCCTGCGGGTCCCCCCAGATCCCTCAGAATGACCTTAGTATTGCTGACACCTTCTTCCTCGATGTGCTTTTTACTCTCATGGATGAGGGTTTTGGTGGTGTCCTTTCCTCCCATCCTCACAAGCTCAAGTTGCAGAATGTGGGCCTCAGTTGGGCAGCCAGCCTCCTCCAGGGCCACTTCCAGAACCAAGGTGGATAGGTACTCAGGCAGAGGGGCTAAGGAGGGGCTGTGTGCAGGAGATCTTGGCAGGTCCTGGGGTCTGGGAGAGGGATCTGGTTGGAGAATGTGTTCAGAGGATGCCCAGTTTCTGTGAAAGAGGGCTGGAAGGTCAGCACCCCTTTCTGGGCATTTCTTGGAAAGGCAGCCACTGAGGACAAGACACAGCAAAGGAGTAGCACAGCCTGGCTCATGGTGGGTCAGCAGGAACAGGCCTGTTGGAAAGAAGCAGTGCTCAGGTTCGGAAGTGTGGAAAGGCTTGGGATGAAGCAACGCCAAGACTGGGCAGAGCTAGGAAGTGTCTTAGCCCTTGGAAACTTCAGTCACCCTGGACATACCTCACTCCCACTCTTAAACGCTGTGGGAGATCCTCAGTGTTTTGAGGAAGAAACAAAATGGTCCAATTATCTCCTTTGCTTTGGTATCTTCATGACCTGATGACTGTTTTGATTTCTTTTTTTTACCCCACCTTCTCCCTTACTCCAGGCAGAATCATGAGAAATCCAGAATGCCAATGACTTGCAAAACAGTGAAGGACATAGCATTTGCAAATATTTATGTGTCTCTTTCCACCTCAGACTTTGTCCTCCTCACCTTTGCCCCATACTGACAAATAGGCCTTTCTTTCTTCGGCCCTGTTGGTCTTGCCCCATATCCCTATTGTCCCTAGACCTATACATGAGATGAAGAGAAGTTCCTCTGTACCTTCTGAGGGGGAGAAGGGGGAAGGCAGCAAGGCTGATGATCTCTGGGAAGGGATCTTCCCCAGAGTTCTCCTTATTAAAACAGTTCTTCTAGGGCCAGCCCCGTGGCCCAGTGGTTAAGTTTGCGTGCTCCACTTTGGCGGCCCAGGGTTTCACCAGTTCAGATCCTGGGCACAGACATGGCACCACTCATCAAGCCATGCTGAGGCGGCATCCCACATGCTACAACTAGAAGGACCCACAACTAAAAATATACAACTATGTATCAGGTGGCTTTGGGGAGAAAAAAAGGAAAAAATAAAAAAATCTTTAAAAAAAAAAAACAGTTCTTATTAAAAGAATACATTGGGTGGAGGTGCAGGGAAACTGGACAGATTGGAAGGTCAAACCAAATCAGAGCAACTTTTACTTTCTCACTTTTCTTTTCTTTTCTTTTTTTTTTTGTGAGGAAGATAGGCCCCGAGGTAACATCTGTTGCCAATCTTCCTCTTTTCGCTTGAGGAAGATTGTTGCTGAGCTAACATCTGTGCCAATCTTCCTCCATTTTGTGTGGGATGCTGCCACAGTGTGGCTTGACAAGTGGTGCTAGGTCTGTGCCCAGGATCCGAACATGTGAATCCCAGGCCGCTGAAGTGAAGCTCGCGAACTTAACCGTGATGCCACTGGGCCAGCCCCAACTTCTTCTCACTTTTCCATTTCCAGTGCAAAACACAAATAAAACGTTCATCAGCTGGATAGTATCTCTTCCAAATCTAACCAAAACTCCAGGAACTGGACTTCATTTGGGGTTTAGGGGTAACTCTAGTCCAAAAATTAGGGGAAGACAGTATCTGATGCCTTCTAAAACTGGTACAAATTCCTACATATCATTACAGCAAAAAGTTTCCTCGGTGCTATCACTCACCTCTGATAGACAGCCAAAGGGAACAGGCCAGAGAAAGGGGCCCACAGTCCTTCCCTCTATTTCTTTCACCTCCCTCAGTTCCCAGCAGTGGCCCCTGAGAACTAAGAGCAAAGACAGAAGAAAGAAGAGGAGGAGGTCTGTAAGGGTACACTATCAAAACTGGAAGAAGTGAGAGCTGCGTGCAAAGGGGTCCGACACTACCTGAAATTACTAGACCCTAAATCCTTGGGGAATCCCTAGGACTCTATGGTTTCTGTGTAACAATGTAGCAAAGGGTAAAATATTTAATCCTTTTCTCCTAAGACCTATCAAAGAGCAAGAATATCTACTCTTACCACTTTTTCAGCATTGTACACAAAGTCCTAACTAGTGTAATGAGGAAAGAATAAAAAATTAATGGCATAAAGCTAGAAAGGAAGAAGTAGAACTATATTAAAAAAACAACATGCTTGTTTATGTAAAAAATCCTAAGGAGTCAAATTTTTTTTTCTTTTAAGATTTTATTTTATTTTTTTCCTTTTTCTCCCCAAAGCCCCCGGTACATAGTTGTGTGTTCTTAGTTGTGGGTTCTTCGAGTTGTGGCATGTGGGACGCCGCCTCAGCGTGGCTTGACGAGCAGTGCCATGTCCACATCCAGGATTTGAACTGACAAAACACTGGGCCACCTGCAGTGGAGCACGTGAACTTAATCACTTGGCCACGGGGCTGGTCCCTCAAATTTTTTTTTTAAAAACTACAAGAACTCATAAGTGAATTTCAGAAGGTGACAGGATAAAGCGTTAATATAAACAAATAAATTATATTTCCGTATCCTAGGAGGACACATTAAAAAGTTAACTTAGAAAAGCAATTCCAGTTAAAATGGTGTTTAAAAAACACATAAAATTCCTAAAAGAAGGAAGAAGATAAGGATGCTCACTTTTGCCACTTTTATTCAACATTGTACTGCAGGTTCTAGACACGGTAATTAAGCAAGAAAATAAAATAAAAGGCATCCATATTAGAAATGAAGAAGTAAACGATCTCAATTTGCAGATAACATGCTCTTGTATATAGGAAATCTCAAAGAATCCACAAAAGATTATTAAAATAAATGAGCTCAGCAAGGTTGTAGAATACAAGATCAATATACAAAATCAATTATTTGTATACATTTGTAATGAATAATTTGAAAATTAAATTCAGAAAATAATTCCATTTACAATAGTATCAAAAAGAATCAAATACTTAGGAATAAATTTAACCAAAGTAGTACAAAACTTGTACACTAAAAACCACAAACCATTGTCAAAAACATTAAAGAAGAACAAACTAAACCCAAAACTAGCATAAGGAAGGAGATAATAAAGATTAGAGCAGAAATAAATAAAATAAAGAATAAAAAAGCAATAGATAAAATCAATGAATCCAAAACTGGTTCTTTAAAAAGATCAACAAAATTGACAAACCTGTAGCTACACTGACAAAAAAAAAAAGGAAAGACTCAGATTACTAACATCAGAAAGGAAAGTGAGATGCACAGCAAAGGAAACCATCAACAAAATGAAAAGGCAACCTACCGAACAGGAGAAAACATTTGCAAATCATATATCTGATGAGGGGTTAATATCCAAAATATATAAAGAACTCATATAGTCAATAGCAAAAACACAAACAACACAATTTAAAAATGGGCAGAGGATCTGAATAGACATTTTTCCAAAGAAGATATACAGATAGCCAACAGGTACATGAAAAAGTGCTCAACATCACTATTCATCACAGAAATGCAAATCAAAACCACAGTGAGATATCAGCTCATAACTGTTAGAACGGCCATTATCAAAAAGACAAGAAAGAATAAGTGTTGGCAGGATGTAGAGAAAAGAGAACCCTTATGCATTGTTGTTGGGAATGTAAATTAGTGACGCCACTATGGAAAACAGTGTGGAGGTTCATCAAAAAGTTAAAAATATAGCCAGCCCCAATGGCCTAGCAGTTAAAGTTCAGCACGCTCCGCTTCAGAGGCTCGAGTTCGCTTCTCAGGCATGGAACCACACCACTTGTCTGTCAGTAGCCATGCAGTGGCAGTGGCTCACATAGAAGAACCAGAAGAACTTACAACTTTACACAACTATGCACTGGGGCTTTGGTTGGAGGAAGGAAGAAAAAAGGAGGAAGACTGGCAGCAGATGTTAGTTTAGGGTGAATCTTCCCCTGAAAAAAAAGAAAAATTAAAAATAGAATTTCCGTGTGATCCAGCAATTCCACTTCTGGGTAGTTATCCAAAGGAAAGAAAATTCTAACTGGAAAAGATATATGCATCCCCATGTTCATTGCAGTGTTATTTACAATAGCCAAGACACAGAAGCAAACTAGGTGTCCATTGGTGGATAAATGGATAAAGAAATTGTGGCACATACACACAATGGAATATTATTCAGCCATAACAAGAATGAAATCTTGCCATTTGCAACAACATGGATGGACATTGAGGGCTTTATGCCAACTTGAATAAGTCAGACAGACAGATTACATGTAGAATCTTAAAAAAAAAAACCAAATTCATAGATACACAGAACAGGTTGATGGTTGCCAGAGGCAAGGGGTGGGGATGGATAAAATGGGTGAAGGGGGTCAAAAGGTACAAATTTCCAGTTATAAAATAAGAAAGCCCTGGGGAAGTAACATACATCATGGTGATTGTAGTTAATAATACTGTATTGTATATTTGAAAGTTGCTAAGAGAGCAAATCTTGAAAGTTCTCATCACAAGAAAAAAATTTTGTAACAATGTGTAGGGATGGATGTTAACTAGACTTGTGGTGATCATTTCACTATATACACAAATATCAAATCATTACATTGTACACCTGAAACTAATATAATGTTATTTGTCAATTATAACTCAATTTAAAAAGAAAAGGAAATGAAAGTGGGGACATTACTACTTATTTTACAGAAACAAAAAGGATTTTAAGAGGGTACTACCCCACCCAGACCTGCTGAATCAGATACTCTGAGGATGGGTTAAAACTTGTGTTTGAACAAGCCCTACAGGTGATTTTGATGTACACTCAAGTTTGATCATAGCTATTACACTGTTAAAGGTGACAAAGCACAGGTGGCGCTGGGGCTGGGCTGAATGGATCCTGAAGATCTAAATGTGAACAAGGCAGGACCCATGCTATTTAGGAGCTTGCAGTTTAGTGGGAAGAGTACCAAATGTGCTATAATGCCATAGGATTGGTGCTATAGCAGTGGAATGAACAGAGGCCAGCTGCCAAATTTTCTCCAGAGGTTCAAAGAGTAACCAGGACAGCTTTTCAAAAGAGGTGACAACTGAGCTGACTCTTGAAGGTAGAGGTTCATCAGAAAGACAGGTGGGGTGTGTGTGTGTGGTTGGAGCCTTCCAGTAGAGGGACTGACATGATCAGCTGATTAGGGGCATGAGAAAGCCTGCTTTTGGAGGATGGAAAGTGGTCCAAGATGAGGATGACTATGATATAGGAGGTGTGTGTGTGGTGTGGCCATGACGCTGCAAAGCTTGGCCAAGGCCAGGCATGCCACTCAGAGGCCATGCACTCTGTCCTGCAAACAGTGGGGAAGCAGCAAGTGGCTGGGACAGGGAAGTGATACAATCAACGTCATGTTTTAGAATGATAACTCAGCGGGCAGCGTGGAAGATGGACGTAGAGGAGGAGGAGATTAGAGCAAGGAAGACTAGCAGGGCAGCTGCTGCGGAAGCCTTGCTCAGAGAGGTGACAAGGAACAATTTGGAGGCAGAATCTAGAGTAGTCAAATTCAGAGAAACAGAAAGTAGAAGGGTGGTTGCCAGGGGCTGAGGGGAGGGAGAAAGGGGGAGCTATGGTTTAACGAGTATAAAGTTTCAGTTTTGCAGGATGATAAAGTTCTGGAAATGGGTTGCGCAACATGAATGCACTTAACCCTGCTGAACTGCACACTGAGAAATGGTTATGATGGTAAATTTGACGTTACGTGTTTTACCACAATTTAAAAAAACTAACAAAAGGAAGTGAGAAAATTACTTCTTTAGTTATAAGAGGTTTTTTAGAATGAAGAAGAAAAAATTCTCAGATTGAGTGGACTCACAGGATAGCAGAAAATTGATGAAAAAAGACTCATACTTAATGTATTCGTCTGCCAGGGCTGCCATAACACAATACCACAGACTGGGTGGTTTAAACAACAGGAATTTGTTTCTTACAGTCTGGAGGCGAGAAGTCCAAGATCAAGGTGTTGGTTAGTCCTGAGACCTCTCTCCTTGGCTTGCAGATGGCTGCCTTCTTGCTATGCCCTCATATGGCCTTTCCTCTGTGCGTATGCACTCCTGGTGTCTCTTCCACTTCTTATAAGGACACCAGTCCCATTGGATTAGGATCCTACTCTTACGACCTCATTTAATCTTAGTTACCTCCTTAAAGACTGTCTCTCCAAATACAGTCACACTGGGGGTTAAGGCTTCAGCCTATTAATTTGGGAGGGGACACAATTCAGTCCGTATCACCTAGAGACATTATCATGTGATACTGAGAATAAAAACTATGAATAATAATTTGAAACATGGAAGGAAAAAAATGCAGCTCCTCAGTTGCAACATCCACATTTCACGTGTCAGTAGACACATGGGGCTAGCGTGCGCCATATTGGACAGCACAGATATATAGAACGTTTTCATCAACCCACCAAATTCTGTAGGATAGCAGTGGTTTAAAAATTGTGGAAGAAGTCCTAAAACCACTCAGATTGTGATTGACTCTATTTTAATACACCCCCAGGTCCCTCTTCCCCACCTTAATCAGAGGATCATCCTCATCCCGGCCATTTGGAATTTCAACAAGGACTGGTAAGATTTATGTCATCTCTGATTTTCAACGTGTGGACTAGCATATCTATGAAAGACTGCTGAACTATGCAACGTTCTTGCTTCGAGGGCCTTCTGATCTTTGGGAAATCTAAACAAATTGTATGAGCCAGTGCCTAACAGAATAAAGCAAGCATATATGTGATTTAAGGAGTCACATGATTTTATTATGAAGGGAAAAATCTTTTTTTTTTGGGTGAGAAGATTCTCTTCACCAGCATGGATAATTGCAGGCTGACATAATCACAGTTGAATATTCCATTTCATATCTGAGGATTAGGACAAGAGAGTTGGTGATCATTTTTAATTGTTCAGTTTTTAAGTACCGCCTACTTTATGGATATTGGACTAGACGTTTAGTTGGATTTTGAACACCACACATACAGTTTGTCAAGAACTAGTACATATTCCTTCTGTGCATAACCCCTTTATATAAAGCGCAAGACTCCTAGGAACAGTATCTAAGTCATGGCCCTTGAATAAGGCCCACAGTGAGGAGGGAGCTGAGTTCACTTCTTTAGAAGTCTTGCCCTTGAGGCTGTGGTTGTTGTTTGTCACCCCTGGGCGATTCACATCTATGATGCCTCCCGAGCCCTCCTCCATGACCTCAGACAGAGGGGTGTTTGCCTTTTTTTGTCACAGTAACACTGGATCAGCTGCTGAACCTCAGCCTTCACTGCAGGTTCAAGTGCAGAGCTCACTGGTGGCCCATGGGTCCCCCTGACAACCTTGGCATGATCATCAGAAGGCCATAGCCCAGGTCCATGGCCCCATCTCAGCCTCATTCCTTGGGTTTACTGGAGTAGTTCTGAGCAGCAGAGCACAAAGCGATGCCCAAGTTTGTAGTAGACTCCCACTCCTGGCAATAGGTGGACCACATTGTATGCTCTTATTCCTGTCAACAGTCTGGGGTAGAGAAGGTACACCTTGCTTTCCCTGGATCAGGATGAACCCTGCCTAATTGTAGAACAGAGACCACAGCATCCCCTGGGAAGCCCATCCCTGTGCTGCTGTCCGTGTGGCACCTTGTACCTGCATGGCTTTCACATGCCCCATCCTATAAAGATGAAGCTGCAGGGTCTAGGAATCAGGCTGGGGGTCAGCCTGCTCCAGGGAAACCCTCAGTGACGAGTCTATCAGGATCCTTGGAAGAGGATAAAATGGGTGAGGCCAAGCAAGAACTTTGGGAGCACCATCTGGCAGAACCAAGAGTTTGCAGAGGGTGACCAGATCCTCAGAGATGAGGAAAAAGGCACCAATGGCTTTTTCTGGGCTCCACATGAAATGACAACCACAGGGTGCAGGAAGAAGCAGTGATGAAGCAGGTCATGATGTGTCTCAGGTGGTGCCTAGCTGAATCAGACTATGCTAGAATGGAAGACAACACTCAAAACTGTTTCCCTTGGGCTGTGGTCTGAAGGAACCCAGGGCTCAGTTAGAGGACAGCTCATCCATCAATTCCAAGTCTCTGTTCCTTTTAAGTTTGGGGCCAGGGAATGGGTCCTGACTGAAATAGGAAACCATCAAATGCTCTTGAGCAGGGCAATGACATGATCAGAACCGTATTTTAGAAAGAAATTTTGCAGGCAACATGGAAAATGAATTAAAGGGAAGAGGGAACTGGGGGAGAAACTTTAGAGGGCTAGGTATGTTAAGAATCTATGTCTGGGGCTGGCCCAGTGGCACAGTGGTTAAGTTCACACGTTCCACTTCGGTGGCCCAGGGTTCACCGGTTTGGATTCCGGGTGCGGACATGGCACCGCTTGGCAGACCATGCTGTGGTAGGCGTCCCACATATAAAGTAGAGGAAGATGGGCACGGATGTTAGCTCAGGGCCAGTCTTCCTCAGCAAAAAGAGGAGGATTGGCAGCAGATGTTAGCTCAGGGCTAATCTTCCTCAAAAAAAAAAAAAAAAAGAACCTATGTCAGCAATGAGGAAACGTACTTTAGGGGTAGAACCAATGTAGTATGTGGCTCATTCTCTTAAGCTCCTTCAGCAGCAGCAGCAGTTAAAACAACTTTATTTGACCTATGAACCTGGGTGGTGGAATTTAAGCGAGCAAGAATCAGTTAGTTTCCTGGAATCCTAACCTCAGCCCCAAGAGCTCTCTCTCAGCCATCAGGAGCAGCTAGTAGCTGGATGGGGCAAAAAAGAACTCAGGAAGTGAGTGAAAGACTATTCGAAATAATGAGTATGGGGTTTTTTTTGGGGTGATGAAAATGTTCTGGAATTTGATAGTGTGATGGTTGCACACCATTGTGCATACACCAAAAGTCACTGAACTGTGCACTTTAAAATGGCTAAAATATGGGCCAGCCCCGTGGCCAAGTGGTTAAGTTCACGGGCTCCGCTCGGCAGCCCAGGGTTTCGCTGGTTCGGATCCTAGGCGCAGACATGGCACCGCTCATCAGGCCATGCTGAGGCAGTGTCCCACAGAGCAGAGCCAGATGGACCTACAGCTAGAATATACAACTATGTACTGGGGGGCTTTGAGGAGAAGAAGAAGAAGAAAGAAAAAAAGAAAGATTGGCAACAGATGTTAGCTCAGGTGCCAATCTTAAAAAATAGAATAAAATAAAATAAAATGGCTAAAATGGTGAATTTTATCTAAAAAAAAAAGACATTCAAAATCTGAAAGAATTATCACCAGCAGACCTGCACTATAACAAATGTTAATAGCAGTCTTTAGGCAGAAGGAAAATGACTTCCACTGGCAATATGGATGTATGCAAAGGAATGAAGAATACAAAAAATGATAATTATATGAGTAAATATACAGGTTTTTTCCCTTTAAGAGAGTATTGACTATTTAGGGGAAAATAATGTAGTATAAGTTTCACAATATATGTAGATGTAAAATGTACGACAACAATTGCACAAAGGCTGGGAGGGAGGAAAAGAGAAGTAGACTACGATAAGTTTCTTAGACTGTACATGAAGTTATGTAACATCACATGAAGGTATACCATGATAAGTTAAAGATGTACACTACAAACCTTAAAACAACACTAAAATGATAAAGCAATGAGTTATAGCTAATAAGCCAACAAAGGAGATAAGATGGAATCATAAAAAATACTCAAACCAAAAGTAGGAAGAAAAAGAAAGGGGAACAAAAAAGAGAGGGGACAAATAGAAAACAAATAGTATAAAGGAAGAAAGGAAAGGGACCTAAATGGAAGCAAGATTTCTATATTTTATTCAAACTGGTAAAATGATAGCACCAGTAGATTGTGATAGGTTTTGTATATATAATGTAATAGATAGAGCAACCACTAAAAAATATATATGAAAAGATATACTTAAAAACTCTATAGACAGGGGCTGGCCCCATGGCCGAGTGGTTAAGTTTGCGCGCTCCACTTCAGCAGCCCAGTTTCGGATCCTAGGGGCAGACATGACACCATTCGTTGGGCCGCCCTGAGGCGGTGTCCCACATGCTACAACTTAGAACAACCCACAACTAAAATATACAACTAGAACAAAGCTGTGCCCAGTTTATAGTAGGGTCCCCCTCCTGGGAACAACTGGATCTTGTTATGCTCAGGCTGCTCCTGTCCTCAGTGGGGAGGACACACCCGGCTTTCCCTGAGTCTGACTGAATGTTGTCCAACACCTGCAGAACAGAGGTCAAGGTACCATGTGGCACTCGCCTCCCTGTTCTGCTGCCATTCCAGAGTCCTTGGGGCTGGTGGGTATGGGCCTATGTGGCTTTCACACATGCCAGCCTGTAGAGCTGCAGCTGCAGGGCCAGGCTTCAGTTTGGTAGTCAGCCTTCTCCAGGGCTTCCCTCAGTGACAAGCCTATTAGATCCCGGGTAGAGAGGCCATGTGGATGAAGCCAGGCAGGAACTTTAGGAGCCAGGTCTGGCAGAACCAGGAGTCTGCCGAGGGTGACTGGGACCAAGGACAAGAGAAAGGACATCAGGGCCTTTGTATGGGTTCCATATGAAATGGCAGCCATAAGGTACAACATGTAGCAATAAAGGATCCGACTATTGCTGAAGTGGGAGTTAGAAAACAAACTGTTCCAGGGGCCCGACCCGTGGCTGAGTGGTTGAGTTTGCGTGCTCCACTTTGGTGGCCCAGGGTTTTGCTGGTTTGGATCTTGGGGATGGACATGGCACTGCTCGTCAGGCCTGCTGAGGTGGCATCCCACATGCCACAACTAGAAGGACCCACAACTAAAATATACAACTATGTACTGGGGGGATTTGAGGAGAAAAAGAAGGAAAAAAAAAAAAGGAAGATTGGCAACAGTTGTTGGCTCAGGTACCAATCTTTAAAAAAAAAAAAAAAGAAAAGAAAAGAAAAGAAACTGTTTCCTGTTTCATTCATCCATCACCTCCAGGCTTCTGTTCCTTTTAGGTTAGAGCGCATGAAATGGGAAATGGAACCCAACTGATCTCACTTGGCCTCTCCATTCCCAGGTCACCAGGGACTTCCTCCACTTCACTTTCTTCTAAATATGAGAGCCCCAAATCACCACTTAGTGAGATGTGAGCCTTCCCAGCAGGCTGTTCCACTGCCAGTACTGTCTCATTGGAGGGGAACAAAGGGAGTGGCGGCTTGTCTCTATGATCAGTAAGGGGCATGACTGTGGCAAACAATTACATGTTTGTACTTGGGCATTCTGCTCAGATCTCCCTTGAAGAGAACATGCACTGAAATGTCTGTTCAACCGACAGCCTTAGGATTCCACTCTTTAGGATCTTCTGCAGTGTCCACACCAACATCACTCTTTCCAGGTTGCTCTGAGCCAATGACTGGTGGAGAGTGCTAGGGCCAGCTCGTGTCTGCAGATGTGGGACTCTTCAATCAGGTAATTTTTGCTTGGGGCTCTGAATCAGCCTGGCCAAGGTTTTCTGAGAGCACTGCAGTTTTTCCCTTTCTCCTTTCATAGGTGTCTGACCATCATAATGGTCTATAGGCACTCCCAATTCACACCTGTTCCATCTCTCCTTTATCCTTCAAAGGCATTTCCCCCAATAAATCTCTTGCATTTATAAATCCACTTAGGTCTCTTTTTCCTGGAGGACCTGAACAGACACATGTACTGACCAATCAGAGCTTGTCCAGTTATCAGACACTCTCCAATAGCATGAGATTTTTTTCTTTCAACAATATCTACCCCTCCCACATCCC